TAATTTTAAATTCAAAGGCAACTAATTTTAATCAGTTAGTCAATTTTTTGCTATTGAATTCAAAAGCAAAAAGTGAGACACTAATTTAAATTAGTTAAAATTTTTTTACTAAATTTGTATTATAATAATAAAGCAGAATATAAAATTTGTCAAATAATTTTTTTTCTTTCAAAAGAATAATAATTAAATTGAAATTTGGACATTTTTTTTTTAATATTCAAATATTATTGACGGTATTTTAGGAAAAGAAAAAAAAAAATTACAAAAATTCTGATCAATCATTATATTATTGAGACAATAAATCAAAAAAATTTACCAGACAAGTAAATATTAAATTTTGATATAAATATCTTATCATTTATCACATATATATAGGGATTTCACAATACTTCAAAATTTCGACAGATTTTTCGTGTTTTATTATTAGGATTTGATTACACGTTTTTTTTTTTATTTTTCTTTATTTTTTCATTCATATTATCAATTTTTTTTTCTTTTTTTTAAAAAAGAATTTGTATTTACTTCATTGACTGTTTGAAAAAAATAACAATTATTATTTTTTTTGTGAAGGAATTACATTTTTTTTTTTTTAATGAATCATTTATTGCGACTAAAATAATTAAGAGTTTTGTCAAACATTATAAAAAAATTGTATAAAGCAATTGACATTTTTGTTGATCATTAAATATATCCTAATTAACAATTTGTCATAATATTGTGAAACAATTAATTACATGTTTAATTATGAAATTTTAAAAGCAATTAACTTTTTTTTTATAAAGAATAATAATAATATTAATAATAATAATAATAATAATAATATAAATTATTATATTTTGTAATTAATATTCTTTTTCAATATTTTTTAAGAAGAAGAGATTTTAGAAAATAATTTTTTTTTTTTTCAAAAAATATTTCGCCTCTTTTTTTGGGTGAGTGAGGGAGGGGGTGAAAATTTTGTTATAAAATAATATATAATATATTTTGTATTTCGAAATATGAAAATGGAAGTCTTGAGAGAGAGACTCGGTTCCCTTCGACATACCATTATAATCGCTGTTGGCGCTCTTCAGATCTCGTATATACAGTAATATAAGGCGTTCAAGCAAGTTCAACATCCCGCAACTAATAGTTCAGGTTCGCTGTCTGCCTGGGCGGGCGCGAGGGCCAAGGCAAAAAAAAAAGATACACTCTGCCGATTATTATTTGTATATAATATATCGATAATCCCTGATATTTGAGATTTTTTCATTTTCATCAAAAAAAAAACAAAAAAAAAAAAATTCAATTTTTATAAATATTTTGTAAAAAGAATATTATTTCAAAAAAAGTACGAAAAATTTATAATAAAAATTTCAAGGATAAAAAATAAATTATGAAATAAATAAATATAATATAAAAAATATTTCAATATAGAATCATTTGAAAATTAGACACACAATATATATATATATGTCGCTTTTCAAGGTTGGAATTCATTATAAAAAAAATAAAAGGGTCTCAAATGATTTATTCATGATGAATATAAAATTTTTAATTTTTAATTATAAAGGCCGTTCAATATAACCACGTGGAACAATTTTTAATTTATTTTCTTATTTTTTTTTTTTTTGACCTCCCATTATGTAGACGCAAACTTCTTTTATTCGCGTGAACACTGTATAAAAAGAAAGTACTAAAATAATACCGATTTTAGGTATATCAAAATAGAACCAAAAGAAAATTTAGTATACCTAAAGTCGGTATTATATTAATACCTTTTGTTTTACAGTGAAAACATTATAAAAATAAATTTTTTTTTTAATTTGGCAAAACATTTTTTTCAAAACTAAATAAATTTGTTCGTTAAATAAAAAAATACAATTACTCTCTCTCTCTCTCGACACTGAAAAAAAAATTTATTTGATTCAAATACTCGATTACTTGACTATTATCAAATAAATATTTATTTGTATATCAAATAATTATTATTTAAGTCAATTAAATGGTATTTGTTTCAAATACAAAAATTATTGGTTCAAATACAATTTTTTTAATTCAATTAAAAATTATTTGGTTCAAGTAAATATTTATTTGATAATACTCAAGTAATCGAGTATTTGAATCAAATAAATTTTTTTTTCAGTGTAGAGAATAGAATAATTCTAATTATTTTATTATTGTTTTTTTATTTATTATTATAATTTTATTATTATTGTTATATTTTTAATAATTAATTTTCTTTCTTTTTCTTTTCAATTTCTTTTTTTTTTAATATATTATGATAAAGAATGCATTTTTTATAAATACTCCATTTACATGAGGGGGAAAAACATAAATTTACGTTTATATATATATATATATACTATATACATTGTATAGAATGTGACGTGATATATTGTAGTTAAATTAAAGAAAGTTGAAAAAGAAAAAAAAAATTAAAATGGCCCTTGGGTGCCGACTGATAAACAAATTAAAGTCGATTGGTCACGCCTGCGTCTCGGTTTCATATTCTTTTCCGCACCCGCAATCGAGGTGACATGACGCCCCGACGATGACGTCGTGAAGATCATTCTTTAACCATTTAGAAGAGTCAAAGGATCAATTCACATTGTGAATGGCATCCATATAGCCTTGTCTCCTCTCTGCAAATGCTAAATCACTTTTTAACACACACAAATTTTTATTGCCCTTTTTTAAATATATATATTATTAACAAGATTTTTATTATTATTTTTTTTATATTAACTTAATCGCAAGATTTTTTTTTAGTTCAATTTTTTCTTTTAAAGAAAATAAATTTTATTTTACAATTGAAAAAATTAATTTAATTATTCTATTGAAAAAATTAATTTAATTTTTTTAAAAAAAAGAGGTAATAATGTGGAATTGATAAATCATTGATCGCATTTATTGTGAAAGTTAAAAGTATTATTAAAGAAGTCAATAAATCGAGTTGAATTTTCCTTTCTCACGCATATATTTATATATATATATATATATATATATATATATATATGTGTGTGATTTTTTCTATGTAATATGTGGTGGCGATTTAGTGACGTTCAAGAGTGGAGATTAGGCTATATATTCTACTGTTGAAGTTAGCGATCGTAAATTATTAACGCGTATATGTCAACGATCATGTAATGGCAATTGCACAACATGTTCAACGGTTGAGCGATACGAATCTCAAGAAACTTTGTATTTATATTTATGTACAAAGTTTAACGTCCCTTGATGTATATATTGCACCGCTTTTCTTTAAACTAAAATTTCATAATTTGCGAACAAAAAAAAAAAAAAAATAAAACTAAAATTTTTTCAGTGATAAAAATTTATTTATATTTATTTATTTTTTTATTAATTTTTTTTATTATTATTTTTTAAAATTTTGTTTATTTTGTTTTTTTTTATATTATTTTATATATTTACTATTTTTTTTTTCTACACTGAGAAAAAGGTTTGGTATTGACAACCAAACGTTTGGTTGGTGTTTAAGCAACCAAAAATTTTTTTTTGTTGAATCAACAAAATTTTGGTTGTCTCAATTAAACTTTAGTTAGGACAACAAAAATCGTTTTTTTTTTTTTTCTAATTTTGGTTGTGTCAAACAAATTTTGGTTGAGATAATTAAAATTTTTTTGATTCAACAAAAAAAAAATTTTGCTTGCTTAAATACCAACTAAACGTTTGGTTGTCAATACCAATTTTTCAGTGTAATTTTTCAATTTTTTCAGTGCATTGTTTTTTTATTTATTTTTAAAATTTGAGCATATTTTTTTAGAAAAATGATCATTTATTTAAATATTTCTATTCGGTGAGCGTTTTTTTTTTTTTTTCGAAATATTCGCGCGCGATCCACTTTAAAAAAAAAAGGCAATTTAAAGCCGAGGCGAGAAAACAGAATTATTCGCGGGAATTCCTAAATGCGGTGTATATAAGAAAACGCAGCGGGAAAACGCCAGACACATGACAACGTTGGCCTAGTCCCCTCGTGACTGGATCCATTATACGGTCATTGGTCTCGCTCTTCAGTGTAATATAGAATACAAGTTTTAACGAGACATTTTGCTCATCTCTCGAATTTTCAGTATCTCCTTTAATAATAACAATAATAATAATAATAATTATTATTATTATTATTATTGTTTTAAAATAAATTTTATTTTTCGTTAAAAAATAAAAAAACAAATGTTCTCTGCGGCTGTAGGAGTTGAAAAAAAAATTGCAAAAACAAACGCCATTGCCTTTTATTTTTTTCAATTTGAAACAGATTTGTAAAATATTTTTGTTTTTGATGCGGGAAATTTAAAAAAAAAAAAGTTTTTGTGTGTTTTTAAAGTAAAAAAAAAATCGCTTGAAAAGAATCACACTTTATTTGTTCAGAATATTTTAACAATTTTTTTTTACTATTTTTTTCAAATATTCTTTTATTTTTTGACTAATTTATTTAGTATCTGTTTAATTAATTATTATTTTTTAAATAAATTATTATTTATTACAATTTTTGCTTTTTTTTATCATTAACGATATGAAAAATAGTATAAAATTAAAAAAAAAAGTATAGATAGAACACGAAAGAAAGTCGTGAATAATGACTTTTAATCGATTTTTGATTTATTCTCTTTTTAGATAACACGAGAGATAGAGAGAAAGAGAGAGAGAGAGAGAGGTGAGAAAAGTGAGAACAAGATTAAGTGTTGACGGCCTAATTATAATCGTTGTGGAGTTAACGTGAAAACTGTGATAATAATTTCTCATCGCGTTATAACCTTATAATCGCGAATGCCTCATTCTAAACTGGGTTTTAATGATTTATCGATAAATTCGATAATAATCGATATAAAAAAAGAAACAATTATTATTGTCAAAGTTTTCGTGTGAAATTTTATCTTATTATTGTGATCGTGGCTATATTTAAAAAAAAAAAAAAAATCAGTGTAATCGTGACTAAGTCGAATTTTGAGTGTATGTGTGTCGTGAAACATAAATTTTTTTTTTATTTTGGATGTTGCCAGTGATTCGCTCTTTTATTCCGTGGATACAAACGCAAAAGTGGATTAAGGGCATATGGCCCTGGACTATGGTTCTGTCTACAATATGCACCACACAAATCAATTAGGTATGTTTTCAAAAAATTTATCATCCTTTTTTATTTTCTTTATTATTTATCGTGAAATTTAAATTTTCAAAAAAAAGAGAAAAATTTATTTTTAATGAAAAAAAATTAAATTAAAATAAAATGCAGAACTATGAATTTTATTAATTTTCTATAAGTAAAAAAAGAGAGAGACTAAGAGAGCAGAGAGGAAATATAAATTACACCCAGAGAGAAATATTTTATTTGGGGAAAAATAAAATTTAACTTGAATTAAATAAAATATATTTGTCTTAAAGCCTAAAAACTTTTTATTTGTTTTATTATATAAAAAAAAATTTATTTAGTACAAATAAAATTTTATTTAGCATTAATAAATTTTTTATTTAAATCAAATAAAATTTATTTAGATACAAATAAAATTTTATTTAGCACAAATAAATTTTTTATTTAAATCAAATAAAATTTATTGCAAATAAATATATTTATTTGGCTCTGTAATATTTTCTCTGGGGTGTATTTATATACTTATTAAAAAAAAAAAATTGTTAACAATTTAACAAATTTTTTTTTTTGGACTTTTTGAAAACTAAATATTGGAATTTTTTTTTACAATTTTTCATTTCTTTCTATATATATTTGAAATGTTTACTTTTCATCTCAAGCGTTTATAACTGCGCATCAGTCCATTCTGACGATGTCATACGTTCCACACACATGTTATATTTTTTTTACCGAGTTTATTAATAGAGTGGTATCAGCATCATTTGCGGAAAAATTTTTCAAACTAAAAAAAAAAACGAAGTCGTTTTCTGTGACGATAAAAAAAAAGGAACATACGCGAAAAAAAAAGACAAGAATTAATACAATTTAGTAAAAATATAAATAATAATAATAATAGTAATAATAGTAATAATAATAAAAATAATAAAAATAATAATAATTTAATATAGTAAAAATAGTTTTCTCGCGATGAAAAAGATGAGAGTAACATTTAAATATATATGGTGAATAAATTTAAAAATTGACATTTAATTTTTATCTATATAAACAAATTTCAATCAGGCATTTTTAGAATGTTATAATTCAAGGACGTCTTCTATTTTCGATGAGGTTATGACTCATGAAATTTCTGTTTCCACAAATAGTTTTTAAGCAGATAATTTTATTGTTGATTCATGGTAAAAATGAATTTAAAAGCGCGATGAAAAGAATATAGGGGATATACATAACAAAGTGTTGATAAAAATTTATCGTAAATTGCAATTGGAAATTTATTGGCTCCAAATTATTTTCTACACTGAGAAAAAAAAATTTAGTGTTTGCAACAAAATTGTTTGATTAGGCAATTTTGATTCTTGTAACGAAATTTTGGTTGGCTGAAACAAAGTCGTAGAGTTATCTCAACCAAACATTTGGTTAGGCCAACAAAATTATAATAAGGTAGAATAAAATTTTTAATTTTACAAAAAAAAAAAAAAAACTGTTAGTTTGATCAACCAAACATTTTTGTTGACCTAACAAAAAAAAATTTGGTTGAGCTAACTAAATATTTTTGTTAGGCCAACAAAAAACACTCAACTAAATTTTTTGGTTGACTCAAACAAATAGTTTGGTTGCTTAAATACCAATAAAATTTTTTTGTTGGCCCAACTAAATTTTGGTTGCTTTGACTAAACATTTTTCTCAGTGTAATAATATATATAGGGAAAAACTTAAAAATTTTCTTCATGGAAATATATTTTTTTTTAGTTCCTTTTTTTTTTGTTGATAATTTTTCAATTCCTTATCTTATTTCCAATTTTTCTCAATTTTCTGTGTGGAAATTATTTTTACCCTCAAAATACTTTTCTGATCTCTTTGTTTAGGAATGGAATTACAAAAAAAAAAAAAAATAATAATTAATTACAAATTTTCTATACGGAAAAAAATCTTTATCTGAAACTGTTGTTTCTCTAGAATAACAAAAAATATTCCCTGTTTTAGTGAAACATTTTCCTATTTCAGTGAAACTTATCGCTATTTCAAGTGAGGATTTTTTTCCTTTTTAAAATTTTTTATACGTTTAAATTTTTTTATTCGCATTATGGAAATTTTTGGCAAATGATATTATAATAGTGGACAATTAGAGATAAATGCGAATTTGTATATATATATTTGTCAAAGATTTATCGAGCCCTTGAAAAAAGAAGATATAATAAACTTAAACTTGACCCCTTTCTTGTTTTACAAGTTTAGAAATATATTTATCGGTGTCTCCAAATTATAGTTATCTTTTTTGGTGAATTTTATTTTGGTCTCTTTTTTTTTTGGCCGTTTATATAGACGGCACACAAAAGAAAAAAGAGCATAGAACAGAAGAGAATTTCGGAGCCGCCGTTATTCACAAATGTCAGACTATTTATAGAACTTGTTCTAATCTTGGCGATCGAATATACCAGCCAGAAAAGCGAGCCACAACCCTAAAGTAACTCTTGTGAGAGAGAGCGAGAGAGAGTCGTTGTCTAGCGAAACACTGTTTCTCTTTTTAGCTTCTGGGGATATTCTATTTCACTTAACAAAATATCACTTAATTATTATTGATTCTTGTGTCCTATTGTGTAATAACTATTTTTGTTTTTTGTATTTTTTAGTCCAATTTTTATTTTTTCAATTAGAATTTATAAAATTTTATTATTAATTAATTTTTACTTAACAGAATTTGTAGCAACACAGAAAATTAAAATACATTAAAATAAGCTGCAACGCTTATTATTTTAATTCAATTTTGTTTATTTTAATCCATTTTGCTATTAAAATAAGCAAAATTGGATTAAAATAATAAGCGTTGCAGCTTATTTTAATGCCTTTTAATTTTCTGTGAACCGAATTTTTACACAGTAAAAACAAAGTCTTAAACCGTTTACACCTTAAATTAAGCCCATATATTTTGCATAAGTCTGTCCTTTTTGAATTGGTCTGACTCCGTTTATACCTTAAATTCAGCCTCAAAAATAGGCTGAAATCAAGATTTCTTTTTTAGTGTGAATTCAGAATTTTTATTTCGCATAATTTCACCTTTAAAGAACTTTTTATTTTAAAAAATTATTTTTTATTATTTTTCTACTTTGTTATAAATAAATAAATAAAAATCATTAGTAAATTTGGCGTCTCAAGAATATCAATTGAAAATTCGTACAATTAAATATTCGGAAAATTGGAAATTCTGTCATTTAAAAATTTAAATGATTTGAAAATGACAAATAAAAATTCGGTCAGAAAATAATCTTCCTATTTATTAAAAAGGAAACATGTTTTTTTTTTCTTGAAATTCTATTCGCTCTCTCTCTCTCTTTCTCTCTCTTCTTGTGAAACACGTGGAAGTCGGCAAAAATAAGTACAGTGGATGATAGTCATTGCGTGTTATATATTTAGATTTGAACCATCTAAAATTGTCACAAAGAGAGACAAAGTCTACAAATCTCTAATGTGCATGTTATATAGCCTGAAACGAGATACAAAAAGAATGTTAAAAGTGGTTTTCTAGAAGAGCAAAAAAAAAATAATAATAATAATGAAAGAAAGAAAGAAAGAGGTGGTGCTGGTTTAGTGTGGTAGTGTTACGAAACGTGTTTCCCAAAATATCCCCCTGACACCACACTGACATTTCATGCGAGTAAACAAACAAAAACACATAAAATTTCGTAATTTATATATAAAATACAATTTTTTTTCTGCTTTTATTATATTAATAATTTTCACTTTTTTTTTATTTATTTTATATTCGAAATTTATTGAAAATTTGCTTTTTTCATTTTTTTTATCACTGTCAATAATTAATTAGTAATAATTTAATAAGGTTATTATTATTATTATTATTATTATTATTATTATTATTATTATTATTATTATTATTATTATTATTCTAGCAGTAGTAAAAGTCGATTTTAGTCAGACAAAAAAGTTTTAATTCATCGAATCTTAAAATCAGTAGTAAATGTATAATTTAGTCAGGCAACTGTTTAAATTCTTGACATTTAAATATCAGTAGTATAAGTCGGTTTTAGGCAGACTCAAATTTTGTTTTCCTATCTGTAGAAAAATTCGTATTCGTATTCGAAAATTTAGTGTTAGTAGTAAAAGCCACTTATAGTCAGACAGTGCAAATTAAAAATCAGTAGTAAAAGTCGGTTTCAGTCAGGCGAAACTTTTTTTTTATTGTAAAAATTAGTTTTCAGTAGTAAAATATAGTTTAAGGATTTATAAATTTAGTATTAGTAGTATAAGTCTGTTATAGTCAGACAGTGTAATTTTAAAATCAGTAGTAAAAGTCGGTTTCAGTCAGGCAAAACTTTTTAGATTGTAAAAATTTAACATCACTAATTAAAATATAGGAAATATTTGCAAAATTTTCTATAAGTAGTATAAATTATTCATAGTCAGACAGTTCTATTTTAGAATCAGTAGTAAAAGTCAGTTTTAATCAGACAATTTTTTTCGAATATTGTTTTCAAATTTTATACCAGATGTTAAAGATTAAGTTTAACTTTTAGAAATTTTTTTAAATTCGGTATTAGTAGTAAAGGTTTAGTTATAGTCAGACATTGCAATTTTTAAAAACAGTAGTAAAAGTCGATTTCAGTCAGACAAAAAGGTTTCTAATTTTTCGTAAGCTTAATAAAAATAATAATTATTTTATTTAAAAAAAAAAACGAAATTTTCCAGTCTTTTAATTTTTGTGTCAGTAGAAAAAGTAAATTTTAGTCAGACATGGTTAAATTTTTCGAATTTTAATACTTAGGAAATTTACCATAGTTATTTAAATAAGCATGCGCATATAAATAGAGAAACATTAAACTAGGTTAATAAAGATTATTATATTTTATGGAAGCGTGAAACTAATAAATATACAGTTACGAATTCACTGACTAGAAAATTATGTTCGATATTTTAATTTCATTGTCAATTTTATGCCGCGCATGATATTGTTAATAGTCGTCAGAGATTAGATTTAGATATATATAAAGAAAAAGTTTATTTTCCTT